GCCAGTCCTGCACACAGGTGCAGCCAGTCCTGCACACAGGTGCAGCCTTACACATGGTCCCAGGGGAAAGTGATGATCTGTTCTGTCGATAACTTCACTATGCTTTTAGCATGGCAAGCACACCAGTCTCCAGGAATTAGATACTCTGCAGGAATTAGAGAACAAGGAAAGAGGGGGAGGAAAACATAGGAATCCTCTCTCATCCTGAGTCTACCTGGAGAGGGCTCTGGAGGCTAGGGGTGGGGGTGGAGTGGTCACAGGCCAGGCAGGCCTTCAGAGCAGGATCTCTTAACTTTCAGTTCCAGTCTATGATCCACACAGGACAAAAGAGAAAGAGAGAAGCACACACACACACACACACACACACACACACACACACACGAAGAGGAGGGAGGGAGGGGTGGGAGGAAGAAAGGAAGGGAGGGAGGGGGCAATGGCCCCTAGCCAAATCGTGGAACCTTCTGCTCGAGCTGAACTGCAAAGACTTTAGAATAAGGTCTTCCTTCAGTCGTCAAGCAAAAGAGAATATTCACGAACACAGAGACGTTTTATACCATTTTGCCTTTCTTTTAAAAAAGGTTTCAAGATGAATTTTATCTTTACGTGTAGAAATGTTTTTACCTGCATGTACATATGTGTACCACATGCACGTCTGGTGCCTGTGGAGTTCAGAAAAGGATCAGAACCGGAGCGAGAGGGTTGAAAGCCATCATGTAGGGGCTGGCACGGACCCCAGGTCCCCTGCAAGAGCGACAGGTGCTCTTAGCCACAGCCTCCCATGCTTTGTCTTTCCTTTGGCTTTGGTTGATTTGGTCTGAACGGGGGATGGGGAAGGCAAGCTCGGGCTTTGCTCCAAGCCTCTCTGCACAACCATTCCGTGCTAAGGTGTGATACTTGGTGTGATACCTATCACTATAGAATGTAGAACTCTTTGCCTGCCTGAGCCCTGAGTCCCGGCCCAGCCAGTTGCTATAACATTGGGAGTCCCCATCTTTCTTCTCCAAAGCCATTCTCTCTGTTTTGCCTGTGGATCCAGTCAGGAAGCTGACTCTCCATCCTACTTAGCTCAGCAGGGGGGTGCCAAGCTTGCTCACCTGACCAACCAGTCAAGCCAGATCAGAACTAGGAGAAAGTAGGCACAGAGACCAGGAACAGTGGCCGTTAGCCAAACGCCTGGCAGAGGCCTCTGTTCCTTTGGCTAAGGGACTGGCTGCGCACAGTCACCCTGATCAAGCTTCCGTGGCTCAGTGCTGACTGGGTCAGCAAACAGCTCTTTTCTTCCTCTCCTTGGATTTTCAGTCACCCGGTTCCACCCACAGAAGTTCCCGCCTCCTCCCCAGCACTTGCCCAGCCCTACCTTTAGGGAACACCATTAGGTGGGCCTGGGTCTTCTGCTGTCTCCTCAGACCTTCATACTGGGCACGAAGAAACTGGATGTTTATAGGAGGCCCTTGACCTGGTGCCTGAGTCCCGGAACCCTCAGCCATTAAGCAGGTCCCCAGTTCCAAGAACTTGGGTAGGGCAGGGCACGGGCAGGCCAACCCTTTCGTCTGCATCCGGGAGAAAAGCAAACACCGAGGGCTGAGGCAGGGGGAGGGGAGGAAAAAAGAAGGGTAGGTGGTAGAGTGAATGAAAGAGAGAAGGGGAACAGGGAGCAAGGAGAGAAGCTGGCAAGATAAGGGGAGAGAGAAGAAACTGAAGGGACCAGATTGGGGAGGTGGGGAGAGGAAACGTGAGGAGCTGGAAAAATTAGTTCTCAACTAAAGAGGGGAGGGGCTGAAAAGAGGGAGAGCAGAGAGAGGAGAGAATGAAGTGAGGAGTGGTTACGAGCAGAGAGTGGGGAAGTGGGGTGGGCAGGAGGAGGTGGGAAGCTGAGTGAGTTGAAGAGCCACAGGTAGGAGCGAGTGAGCAAGCTCAGCTGCGGGCTCTTTCTCAGTCCAGGGAGCTTTTATTCCAGCCAGCTTCCTTGAGTGATGGTCAAATTCAGAATGCAGTTCCAAGAGCTACAGTGAGATTCCAGTTTCCTGGCAGAGCTGAGCTGGTCTCAGGAGTGCCAGGTGCCTGCTCAGTCCACATACTTTGAACTTGACTTAGCAGGTCTTCAAAACCTGCTGGTTTAATGAGCCGCCACCACAAAAAGAAACGGCTTCTGCAACTTCAAAAGCTGGGTGGTGTGTACAGGGTCACCCTAAGGTCTCCATACAGCCCTCCAGCACAGCTCCCAGATAAAAACTCGGGCACAAAGTCTGCAGTAGAGACAGAGTCCAGGGGAGCCCTGGCTCTCCGCCAGCCCCACCTCTTTGACATTTGAACAGCCTTTGTGGTCTTGGCTTTTTCCAACTAAGCAACAAGTGGGTGTTTATTTTGCCCACAGCTACGTGCACCCTCACCCCCTTTTTGCCAGCCCTACCATTTCTGCGAATGGCAGACACTGCCTATTCTTACTAGCCTTGACCTATCCGTGCTCTGCTTGCTCAAGTGAGTCGGATTCTTTCTCCTAAGGCAATACTTACCACTGGCGGCCTGCCCAGTATTCTTGCAGGGCAATGGGTGGGGAGATGGGGGAGGGTAGACTCTTCAAAGAGTAGTGAAGGTCGTTCACTGGGGCTGCTATAACAAAGTCCCACAAACTGGGTGGTTTAAACAACAGACATTGTTCTGCTTGTTTAAGAGACTATAAATCCAAGATCAAGTGTGAGCAGAGTCGGTACTCGCAGGATCTGGGAGAGTCTGTTCTATAAACCTTGACTAGCTTCTGGTGGCTTGCTTTTGCTACCTGGTGGCCTTCCTTTTATGAAGGAATCACCTCACCTTTGTCTCCTCGTGATGTTCTCATGTATGTCTCTGTTGAAATCTTCCCCTTTTATAAGGATGCCAGTCACTGGAATAGTGCTTAACCTGATAACCTCATCTTAATGTAACTACTTAAATTGGCGATAAACCTACTTCCAAGTAGGGCACAGTGTAGGCTCCAGATTTAAGATGGCAGCAAGTGAACTGGGGTTGAGGTGGCATGATTTAGCTCGTGTTAGGTAGACCATGACAGTTCCATTCAGGGAAACAGGAAGGAGAGATGACCAGGGAAAGGGCAATAGGTTTTAGTTTTAGATGGTATAGTTGAGGTGTCTTTGACCTTTCTGGCAGTAGGAGGGAGCAGGTGGAAAAAATCTCACTTGAAAATGCCACTGGTTTTGAAAATGATAATTTATTATTGGAAAAATGTTATTGTTAGGGATATATAATATCAAGAGGTGACCCTAGATTGATCTCTTCCTCCCTCTCTCCCTTCCTTCCTTTTAGGAGGTTTTTTGTTTGTTTGTTTGTTTTTTGTTTTTATTTTCAAGACAGGGTTTCTCTGTGCAGCCCTGGCTGTCCTGGAACTCACTCTGTAGACCTGGCTGGACCTACAGCCTCTGCCTCCTGAGTGCTGGGATTAAAGGCATACACCACCACTCCCCAGAAAACTTCATAACCCCTTAAAACAGTGTCATCAGCTGGAGACCATGCATTAAAGCATGAGCCTTCAGGGGACATTTCAGATTCAAACCATGACTGATGGACAAGACAGGAAGGGCAGACCTCCTTACCTCCGCTGTGGAATAGCACCTGAGCCTTCTATGTAGCAGACTGGTTATCTTCCTAGAGACACAGTTAAATCTACACTGCTGAGTGTCTCCCCTGAGCATTCTGATTCAGCTAGTCTGGGGTAGTATCTGGACATATGGATACTTTTAAAGTTTCCTGTGTTACAGGGAGCTCACCAGAGATGAACACTCAGACACAGTGTATAGCCAGTAGAAGGCCTTTATTCCAACCAGCTGGGACCACACCCAAGTGTTCCAGGACTCAAGTTTAGCCAAACCATGTTTGTTTTTCTTTTTAAAAGCAGAAATTGTGTCCTGATGTCCTGCTCAGACGATAGCTGCGGGGGAGCTTAGCAGAAGTAAGCAGTTTAAAGGAGTCAAGATAAGTCAGCTAGGACACCCTGACCTTTAGTTCCCAGAATGGAGCTGGGTAACTTTCCGCGGGATTCTCCATCAAGGAGATAAGGGTCTAGTGAGACCTGAAATGCCCTCAGCGAGAATCCAAGATGGAGGAGCCTCTGCACTGTCTTGGCCTTCGGTCCTACTGCTCTGGAGAAGCATTTACCCTGTTTCCTGGCTTCCCGAGACTCTAGTTAGAGGACAAGTGGTAGAAGAGAGCACCAAAGCTTCATCGTTTCCTATTTTTTTCCAATATGATTTCTAGTAGCCCAGGTTAGCCTCAAGGTAGGCAGTCAAGGCTGGCTTGAACTCCCAATCCTGTTGCATCCGCTGAAGTGGTTGAATGTTAATCAACTCTGAACTCTCTGGCTGGTGTGTGTGCCTCTTCTACAACCACCCAAATGTTTTGGATTCACGAACAGAACACACACACACACACACACACACATACACACCCCAGCCTTACTTTTAATATGCCCTGCTTATGGCTCAACAGTGGGTCACTCTCACACTTCCCTGTGGCTAACACACTCTCCCCTCTGATATTCCTTTCTTAAATCCGAGTTATTACTTTCTAAAATCTATATTTCATCTTTGCTACCCCGGACCCAATCAAGGAGAGGCCCCTGCGGCAGCACTTCCCCGATTCTTACAAGGCTGGTTCTCTGTCTTCTGCAGCTCTCACACTTGCATCCTATGCCCTTCCTGGCATGGCAATTCTACAACTTCCTCCCCCGACCCCCAAATCTAAAGTCCCGCCTCTGTCTCCCTGCCCAACCATTAACCACTGGCAACTTTATTTACCAATTAGAACCAGCTGGGGGCAGGGACCGGCAGTGTCTCATGTGTGATTTGGGGGAACCAAATTAACACAATAGCATTTAGAACCAATCCACAACAGTCCACCTTCCAAGTACTGGGATAGCCCGTCATTTACCACAGACCCAGCCTTGTTCCTGTCTCTTTTTCTGTCCAAATCCTTAACTTATTTGCAGCTTATTATAGAATTGAAGTATTAGGTATAAGGCAAGAGTGTAGCTAATTTTTCCCTGTATAATTTTCTAATTGTCACACTATCACTTACTGAATGGACTTTCTCTCCCCCTCCCCCATGGCTTGTGTGTAAAAAAAGGGGGAGTCAACCATATGCCATCTTGGGAGTCTTTAGAAATACATGACTTACCAATTATGGTGGATGAAAGCAAAGTAGGTAGCAGGGTGTTCCTAAGAGGATCCTCCCCCTGCCCATTCCCTTAGCTAGTAATGGTGTTTATAGGAAAGAAAATTAGGCACAACCTTCCCATTCCCCTAGACCCCAGGGCCACTCTGGAGACATCAGAAAAACTCACTACTCTGATCTTTTCCTCTCCCTATAGCAACTTTATCTGGTATAATCCCATCCTCGAAGTACAGTGAGGTAGACTTAAAGAACCCCAAGGGGCAGGATCATGAGGCGAGGGAGGCCTCCCTTGCTTGGCCCTGGTTCCAGTGCAGAAGAGGGTCCTCATCCTCTGGTAGACTGTGCTTTGTAGGTCTCTGTGGTAAAAGGCAGGGTCTGCAGGAACGCCAGCTGTGCTACGGAAAGACTCAGCTGTCAAGAAGTATACCAGAGCTGACAACCTCATAAACGACAAGTTCTCAGCCTTCTGGAATAAGGCCTCTGCAAGGAGGATACGGCTGAGCACACAGGGGAAGACAATGGCCACGTGACTGAGCTCAAATATGCATTCCTCACTTGGTGTTCACAGACAGTTGTGGGAAAATGTGCGTAAGTTTTACTGTTTTAACTATTTTTTTTTAAACAAAGGATTTAAGTGTGTACATGTGACTGAGTGTGCGTGTATGCGTGTGTGCACACTTGTGTGCATACGTGTAAGAGAGGGAGGGGATGGTGCACACAACACTCGGAAGCCAGATGACGGGTTTTCCAGAGCGGATTCTCTTCTGCCTTTTTTTTTTTTTCCTGAGGCAGGGTCCCTTGGGCTGTTTCTGTCACCACATTGTGTACTCCAGGCTAACTCCTAGTTTCCTGTGATTCTCCTGTCTCTGCCTCTAATGGACACATTCAGGAATGCTAGAATTACAGATGAATGCTGCCGAATCGGGCTTTTTGCATGGATCCCAGGAACGGAACTCAGGCTTGCAGGGTTAGTGCTTTCATCCGCGGAGTCAACATCTTCTTTTCCTATGTGTGCTTAACCTCTATTGAACCTGCAATGTACAATGTTAATTGTTTTATAGTGTGTTATCTTAGAATATTGATTGCTGTGATAAAACACCGAGACCAAAACCAAGTCAGGGAGGAAAGGACTTATTTGGCTTACACTTCACGTTGTTGTCCATCACTGAGGGAAGTCAGGACAGAAGTTCAGGCAGAGCAGGAAGCTGGAGGCAGGAGGGTGCTGCTTGCTGGGTTGCTCATCATGGCATGCACAACTTGCTTTTTCATAGAACTCAGGACCATAACAACCAACCACAATGGATTGGGCCCTCCCTCACCAGTCACTAATTAAGAAAATGCCTTACAGGTTCGCCTACAACATTCTTATGGAAGCAATTTTTTTAAAAAAAATTGAGGTTCCCTTCTCTCAGATGACTTTAGCTTGTGTCAAGTTAACATAAATCTATCCAGGACGTGTATATTTCAAAGGTGTTAAATATATTCACAGCATCACACTTTTAAAACACAGAATAATAGTCAATTGTGTGGGTATAACATATTTCATTTATCCAGTCATGAACTGATAGATATTGCCCTGTTGACATCGTTGAGGTATTATGAATGATGATCCATGAACATTAATACACAGGCATCCACTTGAATCTCTGCATTCAATTCTTCTGGAAATTCTAGATCAGAATTCTATGTCTGTGATAACTCTACATCTAACTTTTTGATGAAAACATGCAAATTAAATTTAATTTTCAATAAGAACACTGTGAGATCCAAGCAGTTGACTTGGGTTCAAATCCTGGGCAATGAACCAAACCCAAACCAAACCAAACAACAACAAAACAAACCTTTAAAAAAAAAAAAAAAAAAAAGATGGGTCTCATGCATCCCAGGCTGGCCTTGAACGTCTATGTAGACAGGAATGCCTTTGAGCTTCTCTGATTTTCTGGCTAGGCCTAAAT